CCTCACTGTCGATTTTATATTTCTGGTTTTTGTCACATTATAAGCAATACATTATTTTTGTTGTACTTCTAGTGTTGCATAATGTTCATTTATTTCCGTTGCATGTTTTCATTTGCCGTTCTATTCCCTGCCGCAGTTCGATCGAACTGCGTGTTGCCGATTTTCGCGAATTTTCGTTTTTTTTGCCAGGGTTCTCCTGGCAAACACCCACCCCTTCTTTTTGGCAATTTTCCATGTTCAAGACCCTGGGCTTATACCCGGATAAATACGGTAAGTGTAGAAGATAATTCACACCATTAATGTGAATTTCAGTAATTTGTTGTGAATTAGTGATTTCATTCTTACTTCAGTGAAAGTTTTATTTTTCCCTATTTAAAGTAAAATCCGTGAACTAGAAGAGAAAATAAAAGAAGAGACACATCGGAAGAAATTGATGCAGGATAAAGTAGTCTACCTTTTGATCAACTTAAAAAATAAATTTTCTCAGCTTTTCTTTATTCAATATCACCCACGAATAGTGGACTCACTTTTACTTCCAAACTGCCGACAAAACACAATAGAAGTTTTGGGAGCCATCCAACTACCCGCGACTTAGCCGAAACTGCGACTTACTGAGGCACAACTTAGCGAGGGGTAACTGTATCATGTACTAGGAAGTGACTGAGACAAAGCATAGCAAAAGCGCATCTTTAACTCAAGAGGGATAGTCCAAGTTTGAATGTTATGAATACTAACCACAAAAATAACTTTAAGGTCTATATACTAACATGATGCTAGAAAGTACTCCAGTGTGAATTCAATTTCCTATGATGTATTACTTAAATCTTTTATGAAGCATAGCATACCTACACAATCTCAACTCCCAAGATGCACTACATAACTTTAATTTGTCCATACACTGAGAATGAATAAAACAGTGACTGACTTTTAATCAAGTCAACAAACACATTTCTTACCTTTCTGTTCTTGATATTAAATATGTTTCATTTCATAGGAATAAGCATTCATGCGATTTATGCTTTACAGGAAAGTTACTTGCAGGAATTACCCTGTAGAATCAAATAAAAAAAATTCAATGCAATACATACAGTCGCTTTAACCCTCGTCCTGCCAGTCCCCTGTACATTTACCTTGACATGGCCAGTTAAAGGCCCAATTCACTTGCCCCGGGCAAGTGTGAATTGGAGGTGTGACTATGCTAATGAGTGTTGTTAATCACTTGCATAGCCTATGACGCACCCTGTTTCAGCGGTCCAACATCACGTGACTTTGATTGACAGTAGTTAATTATTCCAGATTAGTAGCGTGTCCCTTTCCTCGGTTCGAGTTTTTGACTTTTATCCGCCAAAATCTCAGCTCGTACACTATTTATTGTCATAAATACTACATACAGTCACTGCTGTGATATTCATAGTCACATGCATCCACTTTGGCACGACATAATCGACCTGTAAGTTCGAGAAAACGCGCTATTACCGGGGCTTGGCTGGAGCTGTTTACTACAGCGTGACAAGCAAGGAAATAATCCCTATTGTTTAGGACCGTATTTATAGTATACCTGGGCCTTTAAGGGTTAATTAATCTAATTATATAAACATGAAACCATTTAACTAAAACAATCATGAAAGTCAATAAAAACAAATTTGCTTTTTAAGGTGTAAAAATCGTTTTTGACAAAACAAATATTGCCAATTAAATTTACAAAAAGAACTGTTCAGCTATAGATATAGATATAGATAAGTTCATAATTCAATAACCTGATAGATTAATATATACAGTTAATAATGGATGAATTATTAGTTATTAATCATTTTGCTGTAAGTAAAGACTAGCGTTCCCACGTAGCAAAACACAAAAGAATTTGTTTGTACACGTTAATGCAGGTTTAATTAATAAATCAACATTCTACCAATCATCATCATTATCATTATCATTATCATCTACCAACAAAGAGAATATCTGAATATCTGAATACTACACAAGTAAAGAAAACAAACACCTACCAAGGCGTTGTTATATTTTGCTAATGACAATATATCTTCACCGATCATAGTTTTATTAATAAAAAAACAAATACTATTGTTGTTAGTATTTATAGACTTTTCAAATATTTCTTGCGGCTAGCAAATTAAAAGAATTACGCCACTGACGAATATTAATTAAATCAAGCTTCAATCGCTTTCAGTTTTGTTTTTGATAACAAGAGATATTAAAATAACTATGACGATGACGCAAATTTCGTTTCTATTATTAAATGAATCATCGAACATTGTGTACATTAATCAGTCAATGCATGGGGGAAAATAATTCATCGTCACTGAAAAAAGTCATAGACGTGATCGGAGAAAAAACAATGAATTGTTTATTATGTATTACATGATAAAAATAAGTTTCGCAGGCAATTCTCGTGCGTGATATTCGGTCATAAGGTCATGTGATCACAGGCGCATTGGAAGTTTCTCTCCCCATCCTGCCATGTGAAACCCAGCCCACACACATGTCGATTTACTCAAGCTTGCGGAACGGCGCAACTTCCCACTGGAATAAACCGGCAGTCCTTCTGTGAGATTTCGTCGAATTAAAACTCAATATCTCTAACGTTATACATTTACCTTTTGTGTGCTTTCCAGAGTGTGCTTACGTTCTTCTGAATGATCATAAACGACTTTTTATAGGTATCACTTCAATTGCACCACTGAAAGTTTATCTCAGTGAACCAGCCATATTGGTCTTCCCAAAATGCACTTTGTTTGGGACCCTTTAACTTCGGCGATATTTAATTGCGTGCGCATTCATTATTAAAGTTATTGACCAAATTATCCCAATTTTAAATTATATCATAATAATTTTAATAATAAAAATAATTACCACGATTTGTCGTTGTAATTCGATATCGTGTTTGAAAAACGAAAATGTTGTTTTAGTGAACAAGCTAGAGGGTCAACATCAAAGTCTGTTTCCATCATGGCGGACTACACTGGTATCCCGTCTGATGTAAAAAGGGCAGAATTTGAGCGAGCAGAAATTAGAAACCAACTGAGAAGAGAGTTTCAACGTCAGCGTCAAAATCCTCATATCACTGGGCGCATTGTAAGTTCACTTGCATGTCTGGGAGTGTATGTTTTACTGAAACTAAAGTGTTGTTTTCATGACCTCAAATTTGAGTTCAAGCCTTTCACTCAGCCTCACGTAACATTTTTCGACCACTATAATAGTAGTTTAGTGTCTATCAGGTAGAATATATATAGACTGCACAAGAGTTTAAAATTTCTTCAAAAAGTTGCACATTTAACAAATGATAAAGAAAAGATCGGTATGTGTACAGCAGTGTCGACACTGTTTTCACTGACACAAACCTCAGTTGGAGTATAAACTGGTTACAGATCAGTCATTTGCATGTATACTACAGTCCCCTTCGTGTTCGAAGGCTGCAAGTAAGGCCTCCACTGAAGCCTTCCGCGTGTCTGTCTGCATAGAAATGTCTGCTCAAGTTGACCCCTATTCAATAGTTCTTCCCGAACCCCCTGCTCCTCCCAGACGTCCTTAACTACGTTTACCATCTAGGGTCCACTGACGGGAAGTAACTATCATTCTATGTATTTTGCCTGTCCTCGGTGTGCATAAAAAGCACCAGCAGTATTGTGGCTTACTGGATTTAATGCAATTGTATTTATTGATAAGCATTTTGAATGTTGTCTGATTTCTGCAGGAGGAACCAGCTGTTCAAAGATGGGCTATGGCAAGAGCTCAGGGTTATAGCTATTTTAAAGCAACGCCAAAAACTATCATTCTATGTATTTTGCCTGTCCTCGGTGTGCATAAAAAGCACCAGCAGTATTGTGGCTTACTGGATTTAATGCAATTGTATTTATTGATAAGCATTTTGAATGTTGTCTGATTTCTGCAGGAGGAACCAGCTGTTCAAAGATGGGCTATGGCAAGAGCTCAGGGTTATAGCTATTTTAAAGCAACGCCAAAAACATCTATTCTTGGATTTTTGGTTATAGTGGTGCCGCCTGTTAGTTTATTTGCTCTATTCCACTATGACAGGGTAAGTGCTAGTGTTTTTCTTATATGCATGTGCATGTGCTCTTGTGTGTTGTCTTGTTCACACCAAGATTTTTGCCTGCGCTGAGTAACATAAAACTTTGTTTGATTCAAAATAAAAAGAACAAAGGTGAAATTATGATACCACACTCTCAACTAAGTGTCCATCCCCCACTTTCGGTAAGTTCTATTTTTAGGGTTACATTCGACTACACTCATACTTTTCTAGTCGTGAAACCTGGTTCGACTTTAATTCCGGAAATCAAATTTATATAATACAGCATGAATATTGACTGACATGAATATGGTATAAATGTATAAACTAAACCTTGACCTGTTACAACCTTAAAACCTGTTAAATATGGTACTACTTTCCACATTCAGGTTACCTTTTAAAAATTGCTTATTACCAGTTTTAAATACAAAATTATGTTTTTTCCCCGCAACCAATTTCAACAGATCACACTTTGAAATTGATAATTCACTTCCTAATTACATTACCAGAGTAATGCGTTGGGACAACATAGCATGTTTAATAACAGACTTGACCTGTCAAGTCGTATTATGCAAAAAACTCCATGGCATCAAAAAAATTGTGTACATTTGAACACATTCAACAGACCATAATAATTTGTTAAAATTGCCTTGGCGTACAGGAACAGTATAGGGAAAATCTGTATTATTCAATGTGCTCTTTTGATTCATCTGTGTGAAGTTCAAGCCCTGAACTTTTCAAATCTGTAGTCATCAATTGAAAGTAGATTTGCCATGTCTGAATGACAACCAAAGTTGTCACTGTGCATCCATCTACGTCTCACTATCACAATATATGCAGTGAAAATACCTTTAATTGAAGTAAACATGTTAGCCCAGGCACACAAGATATATTTTTTTCACCTTGCCAGTAATGATATTGAAGGAGATAAGTACTTGCCTTAAATTGTATTTTTCACTTGATCCTTTTTCAGAAACGAAGAGAGGAGATGTACGACAAAGGCGTCCAGCAGAGACCTTATAACTTGCTATCTGCATGATTTCTATTTGGTTCCAAGACCAACAATAGGATAGGATATCTGAAATCATCTTTGTGTGAACACTTTAGTAGAAGCTATGGTCACCAGTCATTTAAAACCGTTTCAGATGCTTTTTAGTGGTTTAAAACCACAGGACAAAAATCACTGCAATTAGTACTGTCATCATGTAACCTCTCTCTTATTCCAACAGAGGGTGCTATTTACACTGATTTTGTCTCCCGGATTGCCTAGTTGGTTTCTTCTATATTGTTGCGTCTGTATAGTCATAATGTAAATTGGTTTTTGAAGCATGAAATAAACAGAGTTTTGATTTATAAGTTGACAAACACCAGTACTGATTTCTTATTCCTCATTTGAATCACTTGGATAATGTTTGTTTGAAATACATTCCATAAGTTGAGGCATTTACGAGTGCGGATACCAAATCGGAATTGCATGTTCAGTATCGATTGGATAGAACAAATGCCAAAGAAATGATTACTGACCGTAAGAATATCAAAGTGTGAAGTATGAAATCGAAAGTCTATGGACACCCAAAGTGAAACTGTTGTGACTTCCCCCAGGAAAATGCTTTATGCAAAACTATGTTACAGGAGGTGTAGATTTGAACTTTTAAGACGCAAATGTTTGGCCATGTACATTAGTGGTATTGGATGTGTATCCAATGTGTCCGAAAACATAACGATGAAAATTACTTTGGTCTTCGCTTCTTGGCTCGCCCCTGCTGTCTACCACTGCCCGTAAAATCACAGAATGAAATACAAATTCAATTTTTTTTTCGAATTTATTGACAACCCAATCGTGATTCACACCCACAGAGTTGAATTCAATTACTGCAAATATATGCAATGCATTATGGGAGAGAACCTCCAATGTTTGATCTGCTCAAATTTTACAATGGGATGTTTTGCAGTTAGTGTGTACATGTATGTGTGTCTGCGTCTGTCTGTTCCACCAGTATCTCAAGAACTACTTAATGGATTTAATGAAACTCTGTAAATAGATGCTCTGGTACAATGCATAGACCTAATTAGTTTTTGTTAAAATAATTTGCATATAAATCAGCAATTATCTCAAAAACTGATCATTGCATTTCAATGAAACTTTGTACATAGATGTCCTGGGAAATCTGTGCATACTAATTACTCAATTTGCAAAATAGTTACTCAATTTTTAGCTTTTTCAACATTATTTCAAGAACCAATTATCTGATTTCAGTAAAACCTAGTGCATTGGTTCTCTTAAAAGCCATATGCGTGTTTAGTTAAGGTTTACTTTTGCATAAACTAATCAATTTGTGGCTGTGATTTGGCTCGAAGTATAGGCACTGTACTCTATAGGTCGGAACAATTCACGAAGTCGGAAAGTCTCATGTCAGGATTGACATTTATTGAACTTTGAAAAGAAAACATCGGCTTGAAACAACAAAAAACGTAAAAATAATAACGACAACAATGGCACGAGGACCTCAAGTGTCACATGACACAAAACTCAAGTTGTGATAGATCGGTTCTAAACCAATCACTGATCGCGGTAATAACGTCATAGGTCAAATACAACTTGTATGATATAATAGGAATATGAATAATCTAAACTAAACATCAAAACTATTGCTGAACAGAAATAATACAGTGAATTGAATATTAATTACAGAAAACATTTTGAAGTCTAACTAGACACTTCAAACTTAATTAACAAACACACCTATGATTTGCATCTTGCCTCGACACAATTTATAAATGTTTCACATATCTTGAGAACCACTCATTAAATTTCAAGAAACTTGGTACGTAGATGCTTTCAGAAATCCACAGAACTGATTAATTCAAGGTTGAAATACATGCATATTAATTACCTGCTTTGTATAAATTGATGCCATGTGACCTTATTAATATGCATAACTATATCTCAAGCACTGTTACAGATAAAGACATAAAAGTATTGCTATAACAACAGACGACCATAACTGGCCATGCTACCTAATTAATATGCACAAGTGTAATGTTTTAAGCACTGCTGCAGTTAGTGACATTCAACCAGTGCTATAAGAAGGTGTTGTACAAGAGATATGACTAACATATCAGATGACCATATATGGTCATGTGACCTGATTAATATGCATAACTGTAATGATTAAGCACTGTTACGGATAGAAATGTGTAACTAGTACTGTAATTGTGTTTTGAGACGTCACAAGATGTATGACCAAAATATCAAGTCATATATAATCAAATTAATAAATATATATATATATAAATGTTGTTTTAAAATCATGAAGAATATGGTCTAAATAAGATTTATGTCAAAGATTTTGCATGCAATAAATGCAATTTTTGCTCCATGTGTATTGAAGATGTAC